TTATGGGATGCATTTATGACTCAAATTCAACCAATAGCAGCTCGTATACCTTATATGGTTGGAATTGGTAATCATGAATATGATCATGTTTTGGGTGGAGATAAAGATCCAAGTGGTGCATCAGGTCCTGGAGGATTTCGACCTAAATGGTATAGAAATATTAATATATGTGAATTTTTAATCTTTTATTTGATATTATATATAATTAATTAATAAATTTAATTTAAATATCTTTATTAATTTTTAGGGGTAATTATGGTTATGATTCAGGTGGTGAATGTGCTATTCCAATGATTCATCGTTTTAATTCTCCATCTAATGGAAATAGTCTTTTTTGGTATAGTTTTGATGTTGGTCCAATTCATATTATTTATTATTCAACAGAACATGATTTTCGTCATACATCACCACAATATAAATGGATTGAACAAGATCTTCGTTCAGTAAATCGTTCACGTACTCCATGGATTATTGTTGGTTCACATAGACCAATGTATGCATCAGAAACCGACGAACCACATGATTTTATTAAAATAATGTTACAATTTTATTTGGAACCATTATTCTATCAATATCATGTTGATCTTAATCTATTTGCACATAAACATTCATATGAACGAACATGTCCTATGTATAAACAAGAATGTGTTTATGATGGTATAACACATGTTTTAATTGGTATGGCTGGACAAGATATAGATTCTGGTGAATATTCTGGTGCAGAATGGAGTATCTATCATGATCAACAATATGGATATTGTCAATTATGGGCAAATCGAACATTTTTACATTTTAAATATTATCATAATGATAATGATGCACTTATTGATCAATTTATACTTCAAAAATAGAATTTTCATTTTATTTTTTTTCTCGATTTAATAATGGAATGTGATTAATCATGTAAATAAATAAGAAAAAAAAAGTAACATTTTATATAAGTGATGTAAAATATGATACTTCGATTTTCTATCACGTGTCAAAGTAGATTGTTAATTGTTTCTCAAAGATAAATTTACTTTCCTTGCATACTTTTTTTTCAATCTTGAAGGTTATCTGAGTGCAATTCTTTATACGTTTTGTATTGCATCTATTTTGCATGAAAATAAATAGAAAACGAAAAATAAACTCAATATGGTGCGCTTCCTTTGTTTCTACTATTGAATATTATAAGTAGAGATTTGAATTGCAATTTTAATATTCTATAAAATAACTTAGTAATGATAAACTTGAAAGTTGAATTTAATCATTGAAACTTGAAATATTTAAATTCAAACATTCGAGTATTTGACGAAAGAACACATAGAGAGTATCTTTTTCATTGAGTAGATGAATACTTGAAAAGTAGTTTAATAATTGAATTTAATTATTTTCAAGTTTGACACTACTGAACTTTTTTAATATGAAGAGAATGTAAATTTGTACTGATCGATATAACTCACAGAATTGTCTTACTTTTAAAAGAAAATCAAGATCTATATGAATGATAAGATGAGGCATCTATGGGTCCTATATAGAAAATGTTCCATTAATTTTTATGATATTTTTACAGAAAAGTCAATTGAATATGATTATAATTATTGATATACAATATTTTAAGTGAAACGAAGCAGAAATTTCTTCTTATCATTATCAGTATTATATTCATAGGCTTGTCTTTTGTGAGCATCATCAAACTTCTCAAAAACAGAATCAAGCAATAAATTTTATTAGTAGAAAGAATGTTCCTGGATGATTATTATTATAAATTCACAATTAAAGACATGTGAAAACATATTCTTTGAATAAAGTCTTTATTAGATATGTCGTTGAAAGTTGTAGAAACAATATTGTCATAATTATAAATGATCAATTCAGAGAAGATTCTTCCTTGTGACGTATTTATTTTTTCTATGAAAGAAACTTTATATTAAATTAAACCTATTATTTCAAAACAACGTTGGCCGCATTCTGTATTCAAATATCAATAGAAAAAAAATTATGCATTGAATATAACTCAACCTATTAACAATACTTTGATCGATAATAATCTTCGATATCGATTTGAATATTTATCAACTTTATAAATGATGATATTGAAATGATTTATTATTTTAGTTAAATTGCACTTTAATGTATTCCAACTGTGGGATTGATATTCTTTTTCAAAAATGATTTGATTTTGATATAATCAAACAAATTCTCTCATACATCATTCTAGTTATACAAGTATTAAGCTTCCTACTCACAATATTTAACTACAATCGTCAACGTTACAATTATAATTAATATACAATTTCAAATGAGGATACCCTTAAAACAACTTGATATACCCTTTAACTGAAAGATATATGAGAATTATTCGACGAAAAATATTGATATTCAACAAGTATATACAGGATAGATCATAAATATCACAATGATAAAAAAAAGTGAAATATCTTCGCTTCGGTTTATTCAAATTTTATTTTTTTCATAAAAATGATGCAAACAAATACTACTATTAATTACTATTCCTCATTTCACTAAAGAAACTTGACCTGCTACTGTCAATTAAGAAAACTATGCATATGTGTAGGCAATCCAAAATGATCTTCAGTTGAGCTCATATTTTGGGCATATAGAAGGAACTTCTAGACTAGAATAACCCTAAAAGGGTTTGGGTCTATAGGTTTCTTCTCTACAGAGTTCTAACAATTTTACTTGAATTTTAGCCTATGATGCTGTATGTACAAACAAATTGACTGACGATACTTGTAATCAGAATGCTCTGAAAAGAATGGTTCCTTCACAAGATATTGAATGTCGATAAAATATGAAACTCTCGCATCTTGTGTAGAATCTGAGTGATTTTTAAAAATTCGATATCTCGCGAAGGAAACATTCTTTTCAGAGTATTCTAATTACAAGTAGACCTATCTGTGGACAAAATCGAAATATCGTCAGTCAATTTGTTTGTACATACTGTGTCATAAGCTAAAATTCAAGTAAAATTGCTAGAACTCTATAGAGAAGAAACCTATGAGCCCGAATCATTTTAGGATTATTCTAGTCTAGAGGTTCCCTCGTTAGATGACAACTGAAAATAATCATGGATCATCACACATCAACGTATTTTTCTTACTTATCAACAGGCTAAAAATTTCTTTGGTAAAGTCAGCAATACTACTTAATAATGGTATTTGCTAAATATTACTTGTATAGAAAAAAAAAAAACTTTTGAATAAACTTATATTACTAATAAAAAAATTTGAGTTTATTTAAATGGACTGAAGCAAATCAGACGAGATCGGTTCAATTTGCGAATTTTTAGGCTCATTTCAGTTCCATTCCAAAAAGAAACACGAACTATTCTCATCTCTAAAGAGAAGATATTTAAATTTTTTTTTACATTGTGTTATTTATTGTCCAACCTGAATATAATCTTCAGATGAAAAATATTCTTTTAGAACAACTAATGATTATAGAAATACGTCGTATCTAACATATACAATAATAGTCAATGATATCATTACATTTCTTTTATTTTACTTGAAATATTCGAAAGACAAAAAAAAGAAAGGCTTAAGATGTATGATTTCTTTATTAGAGATCCAAAACGCTATAATCGTATTAGTTGTGTCTTTTTTTTTCTCCTAACAAAACAGTGACCGCTTTATTTTATTTGTTATTCTGTCTACGTGATACTGAACGGGTCACTCATATAATATTTAAAAGAAAGAAAGAAAAAAAATATTCTACTATCGTTGACCTCGGTCAGTTGTCCGTTGTTTTGAAGAGCGAAAGAGAGAGAGAGAGAGAGAGAGAGAGAGAGAAAAAAAGTCGACATCCTTTCTGTTTCTTTTCTTTGTCCATCGTGAATTTGCTCCTATCAACATTTATTCATTGGTAAGAGGAGTAACGGGCAACATATCAACTAATAAATTTCTTCTCATCTGATCACAACTTTTTCAAATAAAGTATTTAAAAAAAAACCCGTTATTTGAAAATGAAATCTATATTTTAAATGTAATTTAGAATGACACCAGCACCACCAAAATTTGGCGTTCGATTTTTAACACGAAAAGAACGTACAGTTCGACGTGTTACTAAATGTGAAACACGAGAAATTAAAAAACGTATGTTTTTTGTTATTTATTCAAATAAATTTATTTAAAAGAAAAGTAATTTAAATAATAGGTTTAGAACCTCCAGCACCAACACCACCTCCAACTCCAATAAAAAAGGTTTTACCTCGTATTACACCTGCTCGTCCTAAACCCGCAACACTCGTCAAAATTCGTGAACCAAAAAAAGATAAATCTATAATTGAAACATCAAATAAGGAAAAAGAACAAGTTAGAACAACAACAAGAACAACTTCACCTACGTTAAATCAAACAACATGTTCACCTTCGGTAAATCGAGTATCATTTTCATCATCGGTTAAAAGTCCAACAAATTCTGTTCGTACATTACAAACGACTGATTTACAAAAATTATCTCGTTTAACTTGTTCACGTGAATTTAGTTATTTTCATAAAGAAATAAAATGTGAATTACGAACAAATGAACATCAACTTGCATTTTTTCAAACAAAATTATATCATTTAAAAAATGAATTTGTTAATGAAAATTCTGAACATCATAATTTAGAACAGATAAAAAATTATTTTGCTGAAGCTCTTCAAAAAAATATTGATCGAAGAATTAAACCAGATGAATTTATTACTTTAGCTGATAAACTTAAACAAGATATTAAACAAGTTTGATTTTTCTATTAATTCAATTTTCTGAAAAAAAAAAAAGAAATCTTTTTTTTCTTTATTTTTAATTAAGGCACTTGATAAATGGTTAAAAAGAAAAGAACCAGGAAAACAAAATCGAGCATTAAGTGATTATACTCAAAAACGTCAAACACGTATTCGAGAATTAATTAAAGAAACAATTGAAGAAACGAAAAAACAACAAGATTCATCACAAGAAAATATCGATGAATCTCCTATGAACAATTCTCAAGATCAGTCTCAAATCGAAGCAGAAATCATTGATTAGCCATAAATTATTTCATCTTTTTTTCTTTTGTAGCTTTTCCTTTTAAAATTTGTAAAAAAAAATCAAAACTTTTTTTTCTCTTGTCTTTTGAATTTTTTTCAACAAAAAGAAAAATATTGAAATAAAAAAATTCAACTAAGACTTTTTCAATCTAATTATCACAAACAAATTACTCAACGAAATTAGAAAGATTTCTTACAAGTTGAGAACAGATTTTAACACAATAGAATCAATTGAAATGATAATTTTTATTCAGTCACAATTAATTACGATTGTTCGATCAGATTTTAAGATAATTTATTTTCTACGTTAGAGTTCTATAAGATTCAATCTTATATCATTCATCTACAACAAATAGTTATCTATCAGATGATCACATCAGAACTTATTTGAATTGCATACTCGACACTCATTGAGAAAATTGGTAATTATAAAACGAATAAAATATACTTAGAATTGATCAAAAGTTCTAAGTCCGGTGTTTAAAGGACCTTGTCGGATAAGGTAACCTATTCAGAAATGGAAAACCAAATATCCCATGTTGTATAGCTTTTTGAGGCGCATTGAATGGTATATAGGAAATTCTGTTTTCATGAGACTGTTGAAGGAACTGAAATCAATTTACTGGTAGACGATTACACACTCACATCCACAATATGACCGAAGATGCTACGTATACGAAGTTGTAACCCATCAAAAACTCCAGAAAATCGTATGTGAGAAAAGATATTTTCGACTAATACCAAGGACCACTATATTCAGTAACTTATCATATTTGGGTGCTGGTGAGTAGTCGTCTATCATATAAATTGACTCTAGTTTCTTTAAAAATCTTTTGAAAACAGAATTTACTATATACTATTCGACGCACCTCAAAAAGCTCTACAACATCGGATATCTGGTTTTTCATTTCTGAATAGGTTACCTTATCCGACAAGGTTCTCTAAACACAGGGCTCAGAACTTTTGATCAACTCTATGTATAAGCGGAAATTGGTTAAAAAGATAAATTTTGGTGCCTTATTGGCTTTATGATCAAAATAAGCGACAATAATGATGCCATATCAAGCAGTTAGGAAATAGCTTTTTTTCGGTTTTTTTTTAAACATGATTTAAAAGAAGTGTTGAAGTATAGGAACAGAAATTTTAACTTTCATCCAACAGAAATCTTAGCAATGAGCCATCACAGAGGTACTTGATATACAATCGAAGAGTGTATACGAACTACTTCCTTATTTTGCATTTCTTGAGGATTAAGTAAAACAATGGTGAAGAAATGTGTCCTAAAATAGATGGAATACAACAATCTTTTTATGACTAAGTATAACAACTACATTGTGCTTCACATTTTAATCCCATAGGAATTGTATGAACAGCTTGTTTTTTGAATGATCGACTTAGAAAACTTTATGTAAGTTATTCTAAAGTTTGAATTGTAAGTGGCAAATTACAAACTACATTTATGAAGGAAGATCCTCAAGTAATCCATCACTTTTAAGTTAGGACTATGTGCATCATGTACATCATAGAGAGCTATGAATACTAGGAAAAGAGTTTGGGTCCATAGTTTGTTGCTGTTGGGCTACTGTATTTTTCCGGTATTTGTTAGCACAATTCCATGATCGCCCTCAGGAATACCTTAAAAACTTATTGTCGAATTTCGACTTGAAACTTTGCACAGAGACAGATCTTAATTAGAGTGGTTTATCTTGAAAACTTCGGATCTTTTTATTGTTTCTATCCTAGGATACAGTTATGATGACAAAAGATTTTTCATATTACTTACAGAGCCAGATTTTGAAGTTCTTATTTCAAATTAGGAGCATTCGAAAACGCTGAAAGTTTTAAAATAAACCACTCTCACTAAGATCTGTCTCTGTGCAAAATTTCAAATCGAAATTCGAAAAAAAAGGTTTTCTGGTATTCCTAAGGGAGAGCACGGCATTGAGCTAACAAATACTGTAAAAATGCAGTAGCTCAATAGCAACAAGCTATGGATCTGAACTCTTTTCACAATATTCATAGCTCGCTATGATCTACATGATACACATAGTTCCAATTTAAAAGCGATGGATCACTTGAGAACTTTCTCGCATTCGGCTTTTTCAAAGTTTGAGAATTCCGTTTATCAATAATTTAATTTATACTAAAGTCAAGTGGTAAAAATAGATGATTGTTAAAGTATGAAATTTTGTTGGTCGAGTCTAAATTTGATGTTTGAATACATTGAGCTTGTTCAACTGTTAAAAGATGTCCGATGTTTACTATAGATGTGTTTATTTGAATTTTTTTAAAAGATAGTTTTGAAAATGTTACGTATTGCTATGCATGATTGATTCATATAGGATAATTATTTATGTACATTAATAATCGTACTTTTGTCTTTCTGATTTTTGGTTATTATAGAACAAATTGATCACTTTCTTTATTTTTATCACGCTATCATGACTTACTTTGTTTTTGTTTAAATGTTATTTTTTTAAAATATCTCAATCGTTTCTTTTTGAATATTAAGAGATATCATTTTGATTCGAAACAATGAATTATAACCACCAATCAACACATTCTTTCTTTCATGAATGACATCCAAATCAGTAAGTAAATCTTTTCGTTGATTTGTCATAGATATAAAATTTCATATTTATTTTAAAAAATATATTTCACTATAAGCGTCAACATTTTTTCATCAAGTCAGTCTGTTTATTTTGTGCGAGCAAGTACGTGTTTCGTATTCTACGTTAACAATAGAAGTATGTATTTGTATTTGGAATCCTCTCTCCCTCATCATTCTCCATAACACCACGGAGTGTGACACAATGTATTGATCCTATTCAATCCGTGTCAGAATAGACTTAATGAATAATGAATTATTTTATTTTATTTATTATTATGTGAAATATTCTATAATAAAATATTGTTGATGTTATGATTGTAAGGCTTATTGGGATTTAACTGAATGTATGATATGTTCAATCATTTTTGCATTATTGAATTCTTCATCATTATTTTTCATTTCAAATATATATGTAACATCAATAAGTCGATTATCATGTGTTTTTAATAAGACTCGAATACGATCTTTATTATTTGTATCTTCATGATATTCTAAAAGCGTTACATTTGCTTGAGGATTTAAAAAATCACTTTCATAAGTAGGTCGCATTGCTTCTACACCTTGGAGTACCAATTGATCATTAAATATGACACGACAATTAGGATGAAGAAAATTAACTATTTTATTAATATCATGTTTATTATATGCAGACAAATATTCTAATAATAAACTATGAATTGTCATTAGATAACTATTGGGTCGTAATTGAGGATCAAAGCATAAAAAAACAAAAAGAATAGATAAAATTTGTGAATACTCTGATTGGATTGTTATCAACTATAGTTATTATTCAATAGAAATTTTAAATAAAATAAAAATTGTTTGTTTGTGTAAAGAGTTCTAACTGTTCTATTATAAATAATCAAGCTTCGTTTTGTTTTTTAATAAAAGTTAATATAAAAATGGATGTACAAATTGCAGATGTCGCTCCTTTTCGTTTTCTATTAAATGAAAAGAATATAGTACTTTTCAATCACATATATAATTATTTGATTGATTTCAATTTATTTTTGAAAATTTTAGTGCTATCAAATGAGAATTTATTGAGAAAAGTACAATCGTTTCATTTAGTCTATGTAGCAATGAAATAAAAATGTGTTGTTTTCTTGGTGACTTTGCTTTCGACTAGTTTTTGTAGACTAAATCAATGCAGATTGAGTATCAATTATGCGAACATAAATTATTTCAATTTTCATAGACTCGTTGCTAATGAACTACCATCAACACGAATATTTAATAAGTTGTACTTCATACTGAACTTTTGATTTTAAATAAATAATCTTTGAATGTGTATCGATAGACAAAATATGAGAAAAAAACGAGTCTTTAACATAAAAATAGGCAGATATTTAGATTGATAAACAACCTTAAGGTATACGAGGCAATACCCAAAAATACAGATATCGGTTTTTTGATCTAATCGAATTGAATTTCAATGGTAATTTTCTTACTTTTTTCAGTTTCTACGACTAATATAAGGAGGTTATAGAAATGTTAAAAGCAGGGCAACTTTATTGAAAAACAAAAAAGTAAAATAGAAGAAGTCAACTAAGTATACATGTGCCATCTTTGTCATCACGGCTTGTAACATGAAGCCGATCGCCCTGTTTAAAATCATCTCTTTTATTTGTAACGATGCATCCTTTACTAGCCGATTTATCACCTCTTCCATTGTCTCCATGAATTTGAAAGGCGTCACGTCCGTGCATATTATTCGATTTATCTGGTATCAGAGGAAATTTCATTTTGCCCTTGGGTCCTTCAAATGTATAATCTCCATCTGGTATAGGACCTTTGTTCTTTTTAGTTTGATCAGTTTCACCTGGTTGACCACTATAGGCTGGACGACATTCATTTGTGCCCGTTTTACATAGTTGTTCGCTTGATTTGAAGAATGTCCAGTGTGTCATTGTTCTTTGGCAGGGTTCGAGTAAATAAAAGAAAAACAACTTCTTCTTCTCCTTTTATGCAAAAAAAAACGATGGAAGGAAGTAGATGTTGGTTTTTTCCAAGTTGCGCCGTGTCAAAAAAGTACTAGTTTATTTTTACAGTATTTTATTCCAATCAACTGCATCAAAGAGATGAAAAGAGTGCGGTGTCAGCACATGTTTTGCTTAAGTAAACGAAAAGAATAGTTTTAAAAATTGTGTCGCAGATTATTTCAGTGTTAGGTGATGCTTGTTTCGTGAGTTATCCTCTCAGCTGAAGTGAGGATCATATGATATTGGATCGATGATGAATATCATCATTTAATGTTGATCGAGTTTTTATTAATAAATTAGGAACGAAATCTATTCTGATACGTCAAATGAATGTTAAAAACTTAATCGATTCTATTCAGGATCTTATCAATAACTACACGATGTATAAAAATAATGCTCAAAAGATTGGTCAATTAAATAAGGATAAAAATGAACTTGGTCATTGTATTCAACTTATTGAGAAAGAGTTACGAATATAATATTCTATTGAAAAATAAATATAATATGCCAATTTTTGCAATCACTTTTTTTTGTAATAGTATTCTTTTTTTTGTTTTGCTGATTGAATAGTGAATAATACAGTGATTAAATAATAATCACTTCTAGGTATTGAACTATTTTTTTTATTTATTTTGTTTTTGAAATCAGTTTTTTCTTTTTTTAACCTACAAGCAATTTTCTATTGATGCTTCGTAGTCGAAATTTGATTATTAGTTTTCAAATCGATAGGTATACATTTCATGCTGATAAAATGGTGCTATTTTGCTTGATGTGTCATGAAAATTTATCTTACTCTTAAAAATTATATCAATCTCGTATTCGACAAATCATGAATGAAACATGTTTGCATAGAACACGCTGAATGATTTTCATATATTTTTCAGCAATTGTTAACTCAGTCTAATTTTAGACTTGCGAAATATAATACCTTCATTGTTCATCCATATTTTCAAGTTACGTCAATTAGTTATTGTTTTGTGAAACTGCAATCTATTTTCGAAGGAAAATGATGAGTGTAAGTTTAAAGTCAAGTTTTTGCTGCTTTCTTCTCTAACTTCTACTTCCTTCAGAGCCATTGGACTCAATAATCCATGAGTACGTTTCACTAGCACTCAAGTAATAGGTGTCAGATTTTGTCCCAGAATTGCTGAGCAATGGAAAAGGTATTGAACAACAGTAAAAACCGTACTTAGAATCTTTTGGAGCAATCTAGAATATTCGAAAGTTTTTCTTGAACTCGAAATGGTCATAATACATACATGAAATTGAAGGCAGATACACTGTTGTATAGTGGATGTAAATGATAATGGACAATGGTATGTCGATTTGACACAGTCGGCTTATGATCAACACAGAAAGTCTAGCATAATAAATTCTAACGGTCGACAATAATCAATATAAGAATTTTTATGTTCATCAGAATTCAGGACGATGCGTTGAGACTCGTTATAGATTCCATTAAATAAATGTGCACAGTAAGTTAAACTGGCAGTTAAATCAATCATAAAATAAAAACCTTCAGTAATGCATAAACCATTACACCATTTGCATATAATATGATAGCGATTTCTTCATAAATAATAGTCGCCCAAACATACTTTGTCTCAATCGCAGACGCAACCAATTCATATAGAGCGTTGAGTTCAATATTCTTGTGTTTGTAGCTAATCCATATGAACTATAGTCTTTAAAGACCAGACACAGGAGCAGAATGAAGACTATTATTGTCGACACAAATAGCAGGAATAAAATATTGGTTTTCAACTGAATTCTCTCTCCAGAATAAAAAGCCATGTGAAATTTTTCTAGTTACTGGCCTTTCAATATAGGGAAATTCTTTTTTCTGGAGGGGGGAGGAGCGATTCAGGAAAAGTATGTTGAAAGTGAAATGTCGATAATCAGAAAGTTCAATAACGAAATGCTTTTTTTGATCAAAGAAGACTAATGAAATTAATCTGCCCGTTTCAGTAATCTCAACATTAATCTACTAGAGGAACGTGCCTTGACGTCTGATGATTTTTCTTTGCAGTATTCAACGAATATTAGAGAAATGGTGCGAATACAATAAGAATACTGGAAATTCTGTAATCTACTCATTTCTCTTGAATCTTCATTCTGCCCATGATTTTTTTTTCGATATTGACTTGTGCGTATAAGACAGTTAAGAAGTGCGTTTGCAGAACATTTATTGCCTCTAAAACAGCTATAAATTCATAAGATAAGTTTATTGCTTCCCATAAATATAAAGTTAAAACAAGATAAGATATTAATCCTTGATGCAGTTTCACCTTGTCATTCAAAAATTTTCGTTGAGAAAGAAATGGATGCACACATTTCGTTATTTCAGTATCTAGCTATTGAAATCTGTACTAATTTAACATGGAAATTTTTTTCTTAAAACAAAAACAACTAAAATTAGAAACTGATGATTTACCAAGAAGTTAGTATGTTTCAAATACTTTCAATAGAGCAATACGATATTGGAAGAAAACTCTTTTGTGTATCGTTATACATAGAGAGCTAGCACACGAATTCAAATGTATTTTTTTAATCTCTTTGTGTTTGTCAATTGCAGAGAGAATACTTCACAAGATCATCTTCTATCATAGAATGAATTCAATTATAAATATTTATATTAATCTTGATCTGTTGTTATTGAAGTTCTCGAATCTTCTCTTACTTTCTTCTTCTATAATTGGTATTTTTTCTTTATTCTTATTATGTCGGTACATCTACAGAGGTGAGATTCTTTTTACAAATACGAATTCTAATAATACTATTTATTTCAAATCATTTTTGACTTTTTATTACTCTATCTAATAAGTGATACTCTTAGAGAATCAATAAAAGTATTATGCTAGAAAAGCTCAACGTTTATTGCCTTATCTTATACTCTATAATCTTCAATGACCAATTATTATATTACATCAATAGACAGGCGATACCTATTTAAATGAAGCGAACGATTGTCCAGGGATAACTGAGAGAGGAATCGCAACGAGATTATAACAATTTTTGTGCTAAACAACGAAAGCAAGTGAGCGACAAGTAAAAGTAAGTGTCCGATTGTGAAAATGAGTTCTTTCATCTTTGTGAACAGACTTTCTGATGAGATAATTGTTATTTAGGTCTAAGCTTTCATCTTTTTGAGTTGTATTCGGACAATATTTGACGAACTGTTTGTTAGATTTCCAGAACAACTAGTAGTGGCCGTCAAAATCTTGCAGGTACACAAGGTTTTTGAGGATAATATGTCAGATACTCTACAGCTTTGGTTTGAATCTGCCAGACAATATGTGGTTTCTGGTAGATATTTGTCAGAAAGCTCGTTCGTGGAGTTTTCTTCAAGTGTGTGCCAAATTTCAGCTCCTCCACATGTTGTTAAAGAATTCAGACGAAGACAGCATCGCTCTAATTGTTCGCAATTAATCTTCGAGAATTTTAAACAAGTAAACAAATATAGATGCTAACTAAAATTCCGAGCAAGCATCGAAGCTATTCGATATTTTCTATTTCTCATACCGCGTAGAATTAGGACATAAAAGACCTTGGATAAACATTATTTTTCGGGTGGACACACTGTTTATGAATCTAATGTGAGAAAGCTTTTTGAAATGGGTAGAACAGTATGTTCATCTGCGTGGCGTTTCAATTAAAGTTTCTTCTTTATTACTTATATTTCAAGCAATAATGATTCAACAAGAGAGAAAAACACTTTCGGTAATATGAACTACGGAATTTTGAGCCAATAATATTCAACTTTCTGGATTCTGTCTCGAGATTTCTCAATGGTGATGTAGTTCCACCACGAAACATTGTCTCCTGGAGTTTCATTATTCTTCATAGTTACCGACAGAATAGTTAAAAGATATGAACAATGCTCATTAGATTATATAGATTAGTATTGAATGTCCCGTGTCAAGTTCAAATGAATAGTTCAATGAATATATAACTCTAAAGAGTGTATACGAATGTTAGAAACATTTCTAATAAAAGATTGCCAAGCGCGAAGAAAAAAAAAGGACGATCGTAAATGACCATTTCCACCCAGTTATACTGAAAAAAGACAATTATTTAGAATAATCGTATATAATCAAGGTAAAACAATAGGTTGAGAACGTATCCAGGCGAAAGTTATACTGATATGCATCGAGTCGAGAAGTTATTCATTCATTCTGCGTTCTTATTGCATCAAATAAATAGAGCCAAAGTAACTCAAAAGTAAAGCTTGTATATCTAGATTGTCCAGAACTTTCATTGAGTAAGTCGCGTCAAGATCTGTAGCTCAACATATACACTACACCTTCTCCTCCTCTTCCCTCCACAACCACACTCAGTTCAGATAGATCAAGAAATCTTAAACTTTGAATTTGTATCAGCAAACGTTTCTTATAAGTACAAATCGACTGATGATTCGTCCTTGAGAGCATAAAACGTCCGTTTTGGAATGAGAAGTCTTGTTTCAAAAGCTTCGTCAATATTGACTAGGATAATAAATGATAATAAAGATGAAGGCTATAGATAGACAACATTCTTTTAACTCATTGATCTTTTGTATATTGAAATAAACGTACGTCAAAAATATTTAATTCTCTTTTGTTTGTTATTATGTCATATATCGTAATTCTGTTGAGAAAAATAAAGGATCGGGGCTCCGGAATTATTGGCATGGATATAGCATGATATGATGTACTTAAATATCAAGAAAGAAAGAAATAGTTGTGTAACAAATACGACAAATGTAAAAGAATAAAACAAGTTAATCTTGGTTGAAAAAAAATCTCTTATGCAAGTTGGAAAAGTTATAGATAATATGATACCGAGGTCAGAACTTTGTTAAATATTTTTCCATGCAACGATTGTTCATAGAGTGCTTTTTAGAATTATTCATAGAATTTCTAGTGATTTATAAATAGAGCATCATATTT